ACATCACAAACGAACTGTGCGACTCTGGGCAAATCATTTCAGCTCTCTAGTGCTCTAAGTAACTTTTGAAGACTCAGTCGTGAAATAGATGCTGATCTAGGAAGGTAGAGTTCCTCATTGTGAAATTTCATAGTGAAATCGCAATTGTGCATAGATTTTTATCTCTTCCCAGGTAATGCCAGAAGAAAGAAGAAACAATATCTGATATGAAAAGGAGTTTGGGGAAAAGAATGCCCTTTCAAATATTCCTCACTCATCCTGGAATCTTAGGACTGAAAGGGATAGCAATGATCATCTCATTTAGCAATTCTGTCTGTTTTTCAGCTGGACTGAATAGGTATAAATCTAAACCTGGACAAAAGTTTGGGCATCGGCAATTCTAGTTTGCCCTCCTCCTTAATTGTCCTGCTTGTGAGACTCCAAAGTCTGGGTTTTTGTTAGCAGCAGAGGCAGAGATGTCAGAATTGTGGCATGTTCTAGCAAGATAATCATACACGTTTTACTGTCTCGTTAACTTCAGGTACTGTTTATTACTGGAATTTTAGTATCTCCCTTCATCAATTAGCATTCATGGAACTCGCAAATAGGAGGAGACTCTTTTGGCAAAATACGTACTTCTCTAAGGAGGGAGGGCCCAGGAAGAAGATGTGGAAGGGTCTACTGGGAGTGGGGAACAGCTGGAGAGGTGCTGAAGGAAAAAGCAGATAAGAAATCAGCAGATGGAGGGAGGGGTGGAAGGTCACAGTTGCTGGAATGCCTCCCAGAACAGGTATGGGTCCAGGAGCCTTTTTGAGAGATGGACGGGAAGTCATATGGTATCTATTTCCTGAGACACTGGCCTACTTACAGAAACGCAGAGACCAAAGGTATTGTGGGTGATGCATTTGATGCTGAATCTTGATTCACTTTGAGTGCTGACCTTTTGAGACTTGCCCCTGACTAACAGGTATGCAGGCATGACTTAAAATGAAGATGAAGTTTTAAATGTGTTTGAAGGTCTCAGTGGGCATTTTCAACCAGATTTCCTCTAAGGTTAGCTCAGACTGTTTTGATTTGGATCATGAAGCATGCCATTTGGCTCCATTCCCCTCTTTGTACTTTGTAACATGCCAACTCTTTTGTAGGACAGACCCAGGGCTGGTTCTGGGCAATAGGATGCTTTTGGTTTTAAAAAATTTTTCATAGCACGTTTTCCCTTCACAGTAATCACATAGAGGCAGTCTGGCATAGTAGACAGTGAGCTGGGCTTGGAGACAAGAAGACCTCCAATGCTTATTAGCCATGTGACCATGGGCAAGTCACTCAGTCTTTATGTACATCCAATAATAGCTCATTAGGATTTAGAGTCCTGAATTTGGAGTCATAGGATCAGGGTTCCAATCTCAGCTTTTCCATTTGTTGTCTGTGTGTCCCTGAGTGGGTCTTGGTTTATTTACCTGTAAAAGGGAGAGGTTAGGTAAATGACAGCTAAGACTCCTTCCAACTTTAGCTCTATGATTCCATGTCTTAGATGAGATTGAGATCTGCTTTGGTGGTGAGAGAGGTTCTACACTTGGAAGTTCCTATGCTGACAAAAATCAACGAAAAGGCATTTATTAAGCATTTACTTTGTTCCAGGGGCATCTAGGTGCTCTCTGATTCTATGTTTTAGATGAACTTGAGATCTGCTTTGGTGGAGAGGTTCTACACTCTGAAGTCCCTCTGCTGACAAAATTTTAAAAATGAAAAGGCATTTCTTAAATATTTACTATATGCCATGGGCACCTAGGTGGCACAGTGGATAGAGTGTGGGGCCTAGAGTCAGGAACACTCATCTTCCTGTGTTCAAATCCAACCTCAGATGCCTACTGATTGTGTGACCCTAGGGGAGTCACTTAACTCCCTGTTTGCCTCAGTTTCCTCATCTGTAAAAGGAGCTAGAGAAGGAAATGGCAAACCACTCTAGTGTCTTTGTCAAGAAAACCCCAAAATGGGGTCATGAAGAGTCAGACACAAATGAAAACAATGTGCCAACTCCTGTGATAAACACTGGGAATACAAACAAGAAATCTAGGTAACCCTTGTTCTCAAGGAGCTCACACTCTTAACTGGGAGGGATAATGCATATAAGTTCAGTTACAAGGCGGATGGACAGTCCTAGAAGTTTAAGAGCATAGTAGTGGAATGAATGGCAAGACCCAAAGGTCCTTGGAGTACATCAGAAGTTCAAATTGCAATGACTATGGGATGTGATGGGTGTAGAAGCAGGACAGATGGTAAGAAATACTTTTACAGTAAGCATCACCTAAAAGGGGGCATTTGGGCATGGGAAGCCCATGTTATATAAGGAAGGGGAATGTGATTTCTCCCCCTCCCACTTCCTATAATTTGGTTGATGTAGTCATATGATTTAACCGCTGATCCAAAGATTTCAAAGTGGTAATGAGGTGTTAAAATAACTGTAAAACATCCAGGGATCCTTTTACAGTATGAAAGATTGAGTCGGAAGGGAACAAAGTAATTGACCGAGTGAAAAATTTAATCCCCTTTGAGGACTTTTAGCTTGGAACTTAAAAAATAAACAAAAAATTAAATTAAAAAGAAAGAAAAGCAAAACGAAAAACAGTTAAACCTTGGATTGTAGCTTCTGGAGTGTTTTGGGGATGAGACCTCACCAGGGGAAGAGAAGATGAGTCCTCTCTACATCCCAGACCATTGGTCATGAGGTAGAACAATGACTTACCCAGAGGGAGATGCCTTAAACTGCAGTTAGAGAGCCGTGCAAGAGAGTTTGGAGCACATTTGAGGGAGCAGAGATGTACATCCAGATAGACACAGATACAGAAAAGCAATTACTCTAGGGAGTTAGAAGTATTGAGGATTCTAATCCTTGGCAGCGGAAAAGAGAACTGATTAGGGACTGAAGAGAAGGCTAGCCTTGACAATTGAGAGCCAATTTGCGGGGAGGAGTAGACCTTGGGATCCCAAGTGATCTCAATTTGCTGTTGTTGTTTGTCCTTCATTCTCAAAGAAGACCAATGATATCGGGAGGGTGATGACTTCATTTGCAAGTGAACGGATTTAAGTGAGGCAGAGCCGTGCAAAGTCATCAGCCCCACTCTCTCCTCCAGAGTCATTGGACTCCAGCGGCAAGATATAAGTCAAGATTACCGGCAATGGCCCGGGATGCAGTGGGAGACCTTGCCCTTTTTAAGTTAAGGTCTTTTCCAGGTCTCACTTTGTCTGAGACGACACGCATTCAGTGATTAAAAGCTAGGTAAAATTGAAGCAGAAGATGGCCTAGTTTTCCTTCCCAAAAGAATTAGTCTGTGAGGGGAGAACCTCAAAGTTTCCACAAACTTTCCAGTGGAGATACTACAACAAAGGGGAGCTGCATGAGGACTTCACAGAAATAAACCTCGAGTTCCTTCAGGATCCAGCCTGGGGCTCCGTGTTCTAGGCTATATTTGGTTGGCAATCATCCTTAGCACATCATTTTGATTAGGAGAATAAAATATTCCAAAATAAACCAAGGGTCAATTAACCAGCGAGTTAATTGGAATATGGAACAAGTCACTGATGGTTGGAAATAATTATTCTTTCCCTGTATCTCTGGAGTTTTAAAATATCTCTCTTTGCCAACACATTTAGCACTATCTGTCATTACTAGGACAGGACCTGGCTAATTCTGTGTAGTGTTTACACTTCAAAGTCACCACTTCTCATTTTTCTCTCTGAGAAAAAGTGTAGCTGTTTATACAGTTTCAGCAGTAATTCTAGCTTATTTAGGTTGAACCATGATCTCATTAATGGATTACTTTTCCAAACCAGCAGGACTAATTTTGGATTTCTTTAACATTCATTCAATCAACACACAGTTGTTAAGTGCCTACTATGTTACTGTGAAACTCCCTTTTCCTTGCATTTCTGGCAATTACTCAAAATTTAGGCTGCTGATGGAGCCTTCTCCTAAATCCAGAGGTTCCTGAATTTTCTTAATTCATGAAGCCTTTAGTACGTCAGTAATTCTCTTGTCTGGCTATATGAGTTGAAATTAAAATCGTAATCTAGAAAGCTTGGTTATCAATAAACATGTTGGCATTGCTTTCTTATTGTTGAATCACCATCGTAAATTAGATGTGTTTGTAAGTCTCCTGAACTTATTCAGGCTGCTTACTAAATTCCACACTGTCTTTTATTTTGCTGTTGTTGAGAGGACAAGACTAATATTTACCTTGTGAGCTAATTGCATTTGTCCAATTTTTCTCTCTGCATGTAGTTATTATATTATAGGAGAAATCATATGACCATAGTGGGGTCCAATGTGGAGAGTAATGAGGTTCTACTCTGTTATCTTTGATGATGTAAGGAATTAATGCTCTTACAGGCCTTGCCAGAACTGTAATCAGTCATTTTGATGCCTAATAATGTTTGGGACAAAGTGGCATCCACCCTTAAATCAACTATAATTGGGGAACCTCAGAATTAGTCCCAGAGATCCTGTGATACTGGGCCACATGAGGGAGATCCTGAGACACCATGAGGTCATTTTTGAAGAGGCTTGCATCTGGGCTGGACCAGGGAGAAAATGTGGTGTGAAGTAGCTGGTGGACAGTCAGGGGAGCAAGTATTGCATTCAGTAGATTCCAAGTTCGTTTAATTATTCTTAACTTGTTTCTATGATGCTGAAGGAGTGACAGGGTCATCAAAATGTAATACAATTGAAAATTGCATGATCTTTAAATATTATTATTAAAATTTTTTGCGCCCTCTAAATTTTCATGCCATGGGGAAAAACTCCAGTTGGCTCACACTAGGTTTAGCTCTGTGCATCACTTCCAAATCTAGGGAACGGTTAGACCTCAGGAGATTAGACTATTAAAGGGTCTTTTCATTCAAACTGATTTAAAAGAACATGGAAATATTAAAGAAACATTGCCCAGTGGGTGTCATTTTACTATATTGAAATGCTTTCTATTCAAATTCAATTGATTTTTGTCCCTGTATGTTTTTTTTTCCAGTGTTATTTCTTTACTATTGAGTTTGGACTTTGCAAACAAGAAGGGCAGCTTCGAGCCTATGGGGCAGGGCTCCTTTCTTCCATTGGAGAATTAAAGGTATGTGTCTGTGCATGCAAATATTCTACTCAGGAAGTCGGTTCAAGGTCATGGAAAATATTGATTTGTCTGCCTGAGCATTCATACTTACAACTATCCCTTAAATATTTAATACCAAAGATTTACCACCTTAGATATGGGTGCTGACCTAACTTTTTACACTTTGGAAAATGGGGCATGCATTTATGGTTTTCATGGTGTGACACAAATAGATCAGTAATAATGGGCAGCAATCAACAGAAAGGCTAAGTGTGTTTGTGTTTGTGTTTGTAATTTTTAGGTTAAAAAACGGCCAACTGGAACAGGCTAGTTTACTGAAGTAAAATTTGCGTAGTTTTCCAGATGGCAGCCTCAAAAAAAGTTATCTTTAAATTCACATACACACAATATTTTTGGGCATCTAAAATGTGATTCACTTAAATTCAACAAGCATTTATTAAGTGGCTACCCTGTGTAAGGCACTGGACAAAGCGAGGGAGATGCAATGATAAAAATGAAGTAATTCCTGTCCTCAAGGAGCTTATGTTCCACTGGGGAGAATGTAGCCTGTACAGAAGTATTTGTATTTACAAACATGAATACAAAGTATACAGAATAGGATAGGGATAGAACCCATGATTTCACTGGAATAGTGAACTCCCAGTGAGGAGTTCCTTCTACCAAAGTTTTTGTTGTTGTTCATTTGTATCTGACTATTCATGACCCCATTTGGGGTTTTTTTAGCAAAGAACCTAGAATGCTTTGCCATTTCCTTCTCCAGCTCATTTTACAGATGAGGAAACTGAGGCAAACAGGGGTAAGTGACTTGCCTAGGGTCATACAGCTAGTAATGTCTGAGGCTGAATTTGAATTCATACATTCCTGATTCCAGGCTTAGCACTGTATCCACTTTGCCACCTACCTACCTCAAAGGGAACTCCCAGTGAGAAAATTCCTTCTATTAATTAAGAGCACTGTTTGCTTTGAAATTCATAGTCTTTTTTTTTTTTTTTTTGGGAGGAGGAAGCAATTAGGGTTATGAACCAGGGTCATAAAGCTAGTAAGTATCTGAGGCTGGATTTGAACTCAGGTCCTCCTGACTCCAGGGCTGGTGCTCTATCCACTGTGCCACCTAGCTGCCCCTTGAAATTCATAGTCTTAGGGATTTGACTTGGTTGAGAAATTCACAGTCTTAGAGACCTGACTTCCAAGGTCAAGTGACTTGCCCCAGGTGACACTGCCAATACCTGCCAGAGATATTGATCACTCCAGGATCAATTCTCTAACCATTATGCTGCACTGCCTCTCAATATAAATATACATATGCAAAATAATACAAAGTAATTTTATGAGGGAGATACTGTTACCACTCTGGAACCTTTCCCCGAATATTTAATTAGTTTGCATATCGTTAGGATATAATACTAAAAACTCGCTTTATGTAATGATTTGAAGATGGCAAGTAGCTTTCCTTAAGAAAACTTTATGTATAGGGTAAATTCTCTCCATTTTGTAGTTGAAATCAGCTGATACTTGATTTAACATACAGAAAAGGCCATTTATTAAGAAATTTTGGGAAATGGGGTTCTCTGGTTCATTGAATATTCTGATTACTTTAGAGTTGCTATCTAAACCCAGGTGTGTGCTGGAGATAGCTCCTACTGGCTCATAAAGCTGATTGTTAAATTTTCAGTATAAGCATTTAGACCTCAGAAATCAGCAAATGCTACAAATCAAGGCTTGACTTATTTTTTGTTTGATTGTCTAGACTCAAAAAGTGATTGAGAAAATGTCAATAATGTTAATAAATATTAATAATAATGTTAAACTTAAAAGCCTGTCATGCATGCTTTTTCCTCCCAGAGATTAAACATTTACTAACACACCTATCTATACCATACATTTTTTGAAAATTGAAAATTTTGAAAATTGCTGATTTTCAAATTGGAGTATAGTCTCAAATTCCAAAAGCATCCATAACAGCAATATTCATATTTATTTTACATTTTTCAGGTTTGCACGGTGGTTGACACATAGTCGGTGCTTAATAGATACTTGTTGGCTGACTCACAGTAATCCTATTTTCCCATTTTACAGTTAAGGAAATTGAAAATGACTTGTCCACAGTCCCACAGTTAGGAGGCATCAGAGCTGGACCTCTGACTCTTGTTTTCTTACTCTTAGGGGGTTAGGAGGAGCATTCATAAATAGATTTCAGGTAGTCCATGAAACTGTAGAGAGAGAGAGAAAAGAAAGAATTAAACTCTAAATTTTAAACTCTAACTGAAATTTATCATTTCCTTCAATTATGAATTTTTAAAAGCCCATTATTCTGGGAAAGGAATCATAGGTTTTACAAGACCACCTTTTTATGTATATGACATAAAACATTTAAGAATCCCTGCACTAAGACCAATGTTCTTTCCACTATGTCATGCCATCTCATAATCTATCTTCAAAGACACTCATGTTCTTGTAAGGATCCCAGTGCTACTATTAGGAGGATCATTTCTCATCATACAGTATTACGAAACAAATTCAGCATCCATAAGCTTTATGTTGGTTTTGAGTCTATTAAAAATGATCATTCATCGTTGTCTTGCTTGGACCTTGTGGCTTCACTGGAATGTTGTAGAAACAGAGCTAGACATGCAGTTGGAGGACATGAGTTTGAATTCCTCTTTGTTGTTATTCAGTTGTATCTGACTCTGTGACCCTATTTGGGGTTTTCTTGGCCATGATTCTGGAGTGGTGCATCATTCCGTTCTCCAGCTCATTTTATAGATGAGGAAACTGAGGCAAACAGGGTTTAGTGACTTGTCCAGAGTCATATAGCTGGTAAGTGTCTGAGATTGGATTTGAACTCGTGAAGGTGAGTCTTCCTGACTCTAGGTCCCTAAGGTGCTTTTATTACGCCCTTTTTACAGATAAGATGTTTGAGTCATTTTTCTGTCAGGTCCAACTTGCCATGGACCCATTTAGGGTTGTCTTGGCAAAGATACTGGAGTGGTTTGCCATTTTCTCCTCCTGAAGCAAACAGGTTAAGTGACTTGCCCAAGGTCACACAGTTAGTAAATACCTGATGCTGGATTTGAATTCAGTTCTTTCTGATTCCAGGCCGTCTGCTCTATCCACCGCACTACCTAGCTGTTCCTCTACTATGAATTCCTCACTATTTCTTATTTTGAAGAGGCAGTGTAGAAAGTGTGGCACTTAGAATGAAGAAAACCTGGGTTCAGATCCCATCTCTGACCCCTTATTAGTTCTGTGACCCTGGATGAGTCTCTTAACTAATCTGAGTCTCAGTGTTCTTATTTTGAAAATGTAACTACTTATTCCTGTATTACCTACCTCCCAGGATGGTTGAGAGGTGCAAATGAGTTAATATATATAATATGAGCTACAAACTTGAAAGTTCTCTCTCTCTCTCTCTCTCTTTTTTTTTTGCTAGGCAATGGGGTTAAGTGACTTGCCCAGGATCACACAGCTAGTGAGTGTTATGTATCTGAGGCTGTATTTGAACTAAGGTCCTCCTGAATCCAGGGCCAGTGCTCTATCCACTGCACCACCTAGCTGCCCAAAAGTTCTCTTTAAATGTCTCTTACTATTATCTCTCACTGGTTTGTGGTTTGTTTGTTTTTGGCTTGTATTTGTATTCCCAAAGCAAAGTGTTAACATATGGTAAGCACTTACAAAATGCCTGTTGACTTGTTGTTGACTCAGACAAGTCTCTCAAGCCCCCTGGGTCCTTATTTCCTCATCTGTGAAATGGGAATAATAACACATTCATGGAGTTATTGCAAAGATCCAATGAGTTAAGGTATGTACATCACTTCGCAAACTACCATACACGTCACTCATTACTTATTGTTCTACTCATTACTTATCTTTGCAAGCAAAAAAAGATTAGCTGAATACTATTATAATGTGGAAATATGGGAAAAGATTCAATAAGTGAGAGGGAAGAGGAGAAATATTTATATAGCACCTACTATGTACCAGGCACTACGCTAAGCACTTTTTCAACTATTATATCATTTGACCTTCAAGACAGCACTGCAAAGTAGGTGCTGTTATTATACTCATTTAATAGTTGAGGAAACTGAGACAAACAGAGATTAAGTGACTTGCCCTGGGTCATATAGCTAGTAAGTGTCAGGCTGGATTTGAACTCAGACCTTCCTGATTCCAGGCCCAGATCTCTATCTACTGTGCCACCTAGCTGCCTGTGAATGCCCTCATTTTGGTGCGTATTTAAAAATTTTATCTCCCACTCTCAAATCTTCACATATAACTCTTGCATTAGAGGCTCTCACAAGATAACATTCCTAGTATACTTTGAGTTTCCTTTTCTCTGTCTTAAAATTTTCTTGAAAAGGAAAATCCAGCATGCTAACACCACCTCTCTTTTCAAATACATAGTAAATAATATTAAAGAAGTTGTTGGAAAAGAGCAGGGAAAAAACCCTTGGAAACAAAACGGAGCCCTTGGAATACCAATAAAAACCTTCCAAGGAGCAATTCTGTGTCAAAGCTGGGTGCACAGTACATAACACATAGTGAGTATGTAATAAACTTGACTCATTATAAACCCTGGGCACTTACTGTAATATTCACTTTTTCTTTCTCTCTAATTCTATGGAGGTCTTGGCAATTGGTTGAGTGACTCATCTGGGGTTGGCCTACTGCCCTCTCCTGGCATTGACTCCAATGGTAGATCTACAATTCCTTGTTGTTCCTAGCAAGCGTTATCAGATGTTGGGGGTTGTCCTCATACATTACTTTCAGTCCTGCCTCCTTTTGAAACTCTCTCTAGTTCCAAAGAGGTATCATCAGATTATCTCTCTTCTTGTGTCTCTTCCTTCCTTCTGTTTTTTTTTTTTTATCATTTCTCCCTACAGAACCCTGCCCCACCCCACCCTTTACCCCCCACCCCCGGATGTATCTCTCCTTAATTCATCCCTATTGCCCTTTGACCAGTCAAGGCTGGTCTTTGCCATTGCAGGGGTCTTTTTGTTTGG